TAGGGAAAATGATCAATCCCAAGTCACGGCTTACGACTGTGACATCAAAACTAAATGAAACAAGTAAAGAAAGATGTTGACTCCAAGATTTCGGTTAATATTCCACCGAATTCTCTTGTTGACCATGTTGATCAAGATTTGATGGACAAAAAAAATCTAGATCGAGAATGATCAATTTGAAACTAAGAAGGAAAGAGAGCTAGATAATACTTATTTAACTGAATCTGGAAAAATTATTATCAGATTGACAATAAGCAAGATTTCAGATAAGGCTGAAGAAGAGATTGGCCTGAAGTGAAGTTGTCTCCTTAAGCAGTCATTAGCTCTTTTTTACCAAATCCCACTAGTAGAGTAACTTGCAATGTCTTATTTATGCTATCAATTGGCAAAAGTCCAAAAGTACAGATTTTGATGTAACTTTCAGCAAGATACCCTTTCAAAAGATTCACATTATAGTGGGAGAAGTGAATTTAGATATTTCAAAGGAAGTAAACACTGGAGATTCAGCTTTTGAGGCTTCTGAGAAACAAAAAAATAATAGTTCTCTTGGCAACCAAAATTTTACTGAAGTTGCTACTAACGACAACAAGAAGATGAACACAGCTCTTAGGCGCATAGCTTTGCTCAATTACTCCAGGAGACATGAATGAGATTTGTTTTATCTCTAGAGTGGTTGAGGATTTAATATTTGAAGTTTATTCTTTGAAGTTCTCTATCAGCACAAACCAAGCTCGTGCTGATTTAAAGTGCCCTTGTTGGATCTACTTGTTATGATCAGAACTTCCATTGATGTTGAGAGAAATCAATGGGCACTTTTGGAGAATACAATTGAAGTATTTGTGAGTCCTTCCTCTCTATTTTCAGATAAAGTTGCCAATGAGCTTTGCCAAAATCCATCTAAGACCCAAGCAATCTCTACTTTCGAATTCATGTTGTCGTCAAAATCTGGCCAATACCTTACTAGTGGCTAGCTTATTCTTCAGCAATTGATTCAATGTGGGTACATTCCGCATGAAATTATACTCTCTTTTCATTTTTTTCATTACTACCCTGGGGTAGATGTTGGAGGAGAGGGATCGACTTCGAGTTGCCCCTAGAGTTTTTTAAAATCTGGAAAGAATAAGATGTAGTTTTCATTCAATCATTTTTTTCTCTATTAATGTAACCGGAACTAATTTTAATTTATAAATTACATTTTTTATCTTCTGTTGGAGGTCAAAAGAGTTTTAAAAATGTATTATTATGCAATGCAATTTGCATAATTTTTTACTTAAATTCGTCAATTGCTTGTAGTTGTCCATGTAGTCTGCATGATCGAAGTTGACCATGATAAATTTGATATGGCTAAAAATGTCATATAAATTTTCCTACATTGAAGAGAATATTTTGTAAATCTCGCAGACAATCGCAAGATGTAACAGATAGTTGATTTGACTCTCTTCTTGAGAACACAAACTTTTCTTTTAAGTTGTTCAAAGCAATGGTGATATAGATGGGGATATTAATAGTAGAATTCAATTTGGTTGATTGAAATGGAGGAATGCTTTGGGCCTTTTGTGTGATAGACAAGTACCACTTAGACTGAAAGGAAAATTTTATAAGATGGTGGTAAGATCTGCAATGCTCTA